TGCTGACCGGTCCTTCTGCTGCACTTCCTGCTTCCTGTGACATGATAGTGGCAGAAACATGATAGTAGGAAAAAGGATGGGAAAAAATCTGCCTCACCGCACACGCAGAGCTTGAAATGACAGAAAGGCTAAATGATCTATCTCACTGTGTGGTCATTGCTGTGACCCTCATCGACACCCGGGGTCCATGGGGGAGAGCAGGAGCCACAGCAAAGCCTGGAAGCAGGGCACAGCACCGCTGAAAGGCTTCTCTGCATAACACACATGGAATGTGATGGAGTCTGCGTGCAGTGCCTCAGTGCGTGCCCTGTTATTGCCACAATAGCCTAGACAGAGAATAGTTTAAAAAAATCTATATTATTTAAGACAAAACTAGGATATATTTTGCTCTCAAACATTTGATTCCTACACAACCAAATTAAGCATTCTGGTGAAATGCTGAGTGACACTACCTACAGATAATGTAAAATTCTACAAATTGCTTTGACAGCAAAATACCTGAAAAAAGTCTAAATTGAAAAATGTGAGAACAAAATAATGGCATTAGAAATTTTATATATATGTGTGTGTGTGTATAATTCATTGTAATGCTCTATTTCTGTTTTATTCAAACAGAACACAAATGATCTAATTTTTTTTTTTCATTTTCATGATCAAGTGGAGAAATTTTCCTTCTATTTTAACTCCAAATAATGTATTTAAGTGTTAAGATTTTTGTCTTGCTCCTATGCGTCAAAAATCATTAGCAGATTGGGTCCCATGACACACCAGCCCTATTGTCTGGCTAAGCGACACTGGCCTTGCACTGGAGGATACAGCACAAATTTCGAATAGAAATTCACAATTCTCATTTGAAAAGTTCTTAAATAGGATTTTGAAAAGATAAGTATTAAAATACATTAAACACTTTACTGGTTTCAATACTTCAGGATTTTTGTGTGGTTTATACTTTCATGCAGCATTGGTGACAGTTATTTGTTTTAGACTGACTAAATGTGGGTTTAGCTCATTATGATGACATGGGTTTAGTTCGTTATGATGACAACAGCTCCAATAACTCATCTGTCAGCAGGACAAGCTCCCTGTTGCTCTAATCCTTCTCTGACACATAGTCTCTTCAACCAGGCCCATAGACTGGTTCTTTGTTCAGCTTGTGACAGGAGTATTTAAATTAACTCCCAGCAGCAATTCCATTGGGAAGCCCTAAAAACTGGAAGAGAAAAAACACAGTAACATCCTCACATCTGTGTTTGCCTTCTTTGCTCTTTCTTCAGCATTTTTTGCTTCATTAGTAATATCTTCCAACTCAGTTCGGATTTGTGCCATATCAGTCTCAAGCTTCTTCTTTGTATTAAAAAGGCTGGTGTTCTATGAAAGAGAAAAAGAGAGGCTTTGAACATCTGTCTTTGGTCTCTTGCACATAGAGACTGTGACTTACTACTTGTTCTTATTCTGTGAATCTCTGGACCCAAAAATGTGTGTTTCTTAGCGAAGCAAACTACCTGGGTATGAAGGAGCTGCACACGTTCAGTGGCATCCAGAAGCTCCTGCTCAGCCACTTTCCTCGACCGCTCCGTCTGCTCCAGGGCTGCCCGTAGCTCCTCAACTTCAGCCTGCAGCAGGTTAGCTCTGCGCTCCACCATGGCCACCTGCTCCTTCAGGTCCTCCTGTGTCCTGACAGCATCATCCAAGTGCAGCTGTGTGTCCTAAATATGAAGAGATAATTTTATCTTAATTAATTTATTGGATACTGTGCTTAAAAATAAATCAACCAGAAAGGTAATCCAAGACCTTGAGAACTCCCTGGATGCTGTGCAGGCGTTTCTGTGCCTCAACAGCCATGTGGTTGGCATGGTTCAGCTGGATCTCCATTTCATTCAGATCTCCCTCCATCTTCTTCTTCAGCCTTAAGGATTCACTTCTGCTCCCGATCTCAGCATCCAAAACACCCTGCATTGTCTCCACAATCCTTTGATGGTTCTTTTTGAACTGGCTGATCTCCTCATCTTTCTCAGCAATCTTTCTGTTGATTTCTGATTTAATCTGTGTCAGTTCTTGGTTGACACCAAAGATTTTGACTTCTTCATGCTCAAGAGCTGCCTTTAAAAGAAAAAGGGGGGAAACAAACACAGAAGTAACGTTTCAGAGAACATAACCCTTGTGATATTGCTCAGTGACTTCACGCAAACTCCTGAAGTTTGCGACAATCAGCCTTGCACACAGCCACTGCTCAGGAGAGAGAACAGAAAGCTGTTCAGACTACTCTCTACTTTTTCCAGTAATATTTAAGCTAACTCACCTCTGCCTCTTCCAGAGCTAACCGCAGCTCAGATTTTCCTACTTCAGCTCGCTTTTTGGCTTTCTCAAGGTCTCTGATCATTTTGCCATTTTCAGTAATTTGTTCAGTCAGATCAGCTATTTCCTCTGTGAGATAAGAACGACATCAGCCTGCGGGAGCCAGAGAAGCTGAACTCTGTGTTTTGTGACTGTTTGACACCTCTTTCATACACTTGCATATATGCACATGTATATGCATACGTACATGCCTACACAGTTGTATTGTGCATGTACATGTATGTACAGATAAAACAGATACAGACAACTCATACAGGATGATATAAACACAGGGGCATCAGCATGGTGTCATAGCCCTCCCTACAGAGGGCCTGGGAGATACCTGTGTACGTGTTTGTGTCTGCATAGGCCATCAGGGTAACACTACAAGTCTTGTCATTATATGTTCACAGTGCATCTGTAAAACTCAATTTCACAAGCTGTACGGCCTCTTGAGGGTACCACCTTTATCCGAGAGTGGCACCTAAATGACCTTACATCCCTGCAGCAGATAATGGAGAGCCAGGACATTCAATTTATTAGCTTAGTCACTTTACAAACTTGCTCAACAACTTTTGGTGAGACGTTTATAGTCTCCATTAAAATAGAGAGAATAGTGACAACAGAGTCCTGTAACTTAGTGTACCTTGTGAAGACATGAGCATGCTTGTAGAACATTCCTTGTTGTGGGAGAACTACGAACAGATAATGGGAAACCAGAGCCAAACACTTACGCTTGAGACCTTTGTTTTCCCGTTTGATTGTTTCAAGCTGATCTAAGGTTTCCTCATAGGCATTTTTCACTTTGAAAAGCTCTGTGTTCAGCGAGCATGATTCTTTAGAGAGGGCTTCCCGCTTCAGCTGGCTCTCCTCATATTTTCCCTTCCATTCTGCCATGACCTGAAAGACATCACGTATCATTCCCTGCTAGTACTGAAAATGTTATTTTATTTGTGGCTATTTTCTGTACTAGATAAATACTACAGTCTCTGAAAACAGAACAAATCCTATTACCATGCTCTAGAGGAGCTTCTAACTGTTAGACTGAACTTGATTTCAGTATTGACTTAACTATGGAGTATTAGTTTGGCCTTCTAGGAAGGATAGACTTAAAAGATACTGGGCTCACTTATCACCTTATCAAAGTTCTGCTGTTTCTTGTCAAGACCAGCTGTCAATGTGTTTGCTCTCTCTATGTCCACTGTCAGATCCTCCACCTCCCCCTGCAACTTCAACTTCATCTTCTCCAAGGAAGCACACTTTGAATTCACAGTCTGCACCTGCTGCCCTGCTTCCTGGAGATGCTGAGAGAGCTTTTTCCTTGAGGAATATAAACAAAACAAGTATAAGATTCAAAAAATCAGTGTATTGTGTGTATATGCTGTACATAGGTCAGGTTACTAAAAGTAGGTCTATGTTCTGCCCAATGTCCATAACATCTGGACAGTTCATCTCATCTATCATGTACTTGGCCTCCTCCAGCTCCTCCGTGCGCTGAATAGCATCCGTCTCATATTTGGTTCTCCACTGGGCCACTTCGCTGTTGGCCTTGGACAGGGCACGCTGCAGCTCCCCCTTGGCTTCCTGCTCCTCCTCGTATTGTTCCCGGAGCAAGTCACAGTCGTGGCGAGCAGACTGCAAGGCGTGGGCCAGGGCGTTCTTGGCCTATAAATTACCCATAATATAATGTATTTATCTTAGCTGTGATCAGCAGGTGACCCCATCACCTTGCACACTAAAAATATGGTCACTGCAGCTTGGGAAGAAGACGAAGGGCCAGAGGTTTGTAAGTTTTCAGGCAGCTGTCTTCAGCTGCAACCAACTTTTCTCAGCTCTACCACTAGGAAAGACCAAGAGTGATGCTTTCACCTAGGCATATGCTGTAGCTTTTCTTCCCTGGGGCTACAGAAGCAAAAGAAAATTATATAAACCATGGTTTTAAAGTTAAAAAACATGCAAAAAAATTAACCAAAAAGTGAAACTGCTTTTAACATCACAGAGACCTCCTTAGCAAAGCACTTAAACACAGTGCTCACTGTTCACATCCTGTCCAGTAGTAATTTTACTGTGTTGGACTGTAGGCAATACTTACAAACTTCCAAAAGTGCTTTTTAAATGAACTCACACCCTGACACATTTTGAAGCCTTAGCATGTGCCCAGTAGTTCGCACTACCTTCAGCTCTTCCTCTAGCTGCCTTTTAAGTTCTTCTACTTGCTGCGCAACTGCTTGCTTGCCTCTGGACAGCTCCAATGTTATGATTTCTTTCTCTTCAAGCTGACGGCTTAGTTCACCTGTGAGAAGACAAGACAAGTTTGCAGTACTCTCCAGATTAAGCATCCTGAAAACATTCATATATCAAGAATAATCAAGTGTAACTGCACAACATTGTTTATCTTATCAATCATTAGTTACCTTTACATATATTCTTTTACCATTCTTATTTTACCACTCTCTGCATATTTTTTTTACCTTGTCATCTTTACTCTTTAACTAATGCAGGGTTCAGTAATGAAATTAGGAGACAGATGTGTCTCCTCTAACACTTATCTATTCTGTCTCCTACTATGTTGCTTCTATTCTGCTTTAATCATTAGTTTTACTGTTCATTCGGACTTCTACATACCCATGATTAACCCACAATTCTTTCAGCTTTAACTACTTAAGTGCATAGCACTTAGCTTCCCTGTGGTTTCAAACCTTCCTTCCTCTTTCCTTCCTTGTTTGTTATCCCTTCTACATTTCCTCTATACTGACATCCTTTTTCAAAGGAACATGAGGGAAATTGGCAATCCTGTCTCTAGGTCTAGATGTTTCTCTTCAAGTGGTATCACTCTTTCTAGCCTATTCTGTGTTTTCTTCCCATTCCATTTTACCAAATCTGCTCCTGAACACTCATACTCCCCACTCCTTTGCACAGGTTTATTCAATTTCCTCTGCTTTCCTACCCCTGTTATCAACGATTACTTGACCTCTCCTTTTTCTATTCATATGCTCTGGAAACTTCCTCTTCTCTGCTGTTCACCTGCTGGGTTACTGTAAGCCTCTGCTCCTGTTTGTCCATATAGGGAATTCTCCCCTTTTTTCCCTTTTCTTCCTTTTCTCCTAAACCCACTTCATAACATTTAGTAATATTCTGTACTATCTCCACAATTGATTCCAGGTAGGTTTCCCTACTTTTTTCCACCCAGGCATTCACAATATGTAGCGTACGTTCCAAGAAGTCTGCGTAGGAGCAGGAACAAGCTTCACGAGGGCAGGGCACACACACAGATACTGTGCACTCAGTGAACTTGCACACTCTTTGAGGAGCAAGTGCAGTTCTAGTTGGCTGCTCATATCATTTGAGACTGTCCCAAATTCCCAGTCCCTCTGCATGGAATCAGTGAGCTATGTCACATCATTCTGGGAATTCTTTACCTAAGCAAATAATGCTTACAAATGGCATATGACCTTTGTAGTGTCACTCATGAACTCATTCCCTCCGATTTATTTCTAATGTCTGTGCCTGTTCCAGTTAGTCTGGAAGTAGAATACGCACCTTGGGAACAATTAGGTCTCACTCATGATACACGTTAGAGGGTCTCTCTGCTACCAAAGGGGAAAAAAAAACCCTCAGCAGATCTTTGTGCCTTTCTTACCGGACTCTGCCTCGAGCTGGGCTTTTTGTATCACCATCTCATTCATATTTCTCTGGTTTTCCTCAAGTTTGGCTTTTATATCACTCATGTGGTCTTCCAGGGTGCGGTACTTCTTTTCCAGATTAACCTGAGAGTAAGAAATCTGTGTATGCATGTTTGTATTGCGCTAGATTCCCACCAGACAGAAATATTGCTAATTCGAGTATTTCACTTATAAAGAAGCACCTTGGACTTAGTAATGGTCTCTGTACTCCTGGCCAAGTCATCAATCTCCATCTTCAGCTCACTCTTCTCCTTCTCCAGCTTCTGCTTCACTCGTTTCAGGTTGTCGATCTGCTCCCCAAGCTCAGCTGTGCTGTCCGCGTGTTTCTTCCGCAGGGCGGCAGCCGTGGCTTCATGCTGCAGCGTGGCCTCTTCGAGGTCACGACGCATCTTCTGAAATTCTGCCTCACGCTTCTTGTTAAGTTCGGTTTGAGTGGTGGTGACTCCTCCAGCCTCTTCAGTTCTTTCACAGATTTCCTCAAGTTCCTTAGCCAGCTCATCACAATGCTTCTCTGCTTTTGTCCTCATTTCTTTCTCACCCATGGCCTCCTCTTCAAGCTCGGCAACATGGGCCTACACAGTGAGGAAACAGCACATCAGGAATGGATAAGGGAGGAGAAAATTCAATGCTTAGGTTAATGCATAGTTGTCACAGTAGAATCCCAAGCCCATTGTTTTGAGTCCATAAGCAAAGTCCCTTTGAATGTTATTGTTTTGCCACTGTAGGTGAAGGCTTACCAACAGGAAAAGACCTATAGATCAACTCATTAGCTTTAGATCACAGCCTTCAGTGGTGTGGAGAAAACTATCACAATGTACTGAGGCAATTACTGCGACTGGGTCAAAGATTTTGTCAGTTACCAGCTGTGGACAAGCATTATTCATGCTACTACTCTTTAAACAAGCAAACAGTAATCATGAAGTAGATACATAAGTCTCTTGCCTGCAATTCTCTGATCTTCTTCTGGAACTGAACACTTGAATTCTGCTGTTCCTCAATTTTATTTTGCATCTGGTTAAATTTAAAGTCTTTCCTGTGAAGGAAATGTTCTTTTAATAAAAAGAAAATATGTCCAGTTAAAAACAAATAGTAAATTTGTCACTATTTTTTTTTCACATACTTCCTTAATTTTTCATCTAAATGTTGTTTATCATTCTCCAGATCCACTATGGTTTCCTGGGCAAGTTTCAAGTCTCCCTCAAGCTTTCTCTTTACTTGTTCAAGATCCATACAAACTTTTCTTTCCTGTTCTAAAGATCCTTCAACCTGTAACATAAACATATGTAAAGATGACTGATGGAACAACTGAAGAATCTGCGCCTTCTCCTTGTGTTGAACATGCTCACATGGTTCACTTGTTGCTCCAGCTTGACCCTGGCTTTGGTGAGGGTATTAACTTTGTCCTCCTCAATTTGCAGGTCATCTAGTGCCTGCTGGTGGGCTTCTTGAAGGGCCTTCTTCTCTTTGACTAACTTCACAGTAGTCTCATCCAAACCTGTCATTTCTTCCGTTAGATTTTTAACCTATTGTAAGGCAAAATACTTGAAGGTCACTATGATTTTGGCTCTTAGATAGGCTACTGATCACACACAGGCAATAAACACATTCCTAGACTACCAAAGAGAGTTAGTTAGTTGCATTATATCATCAAACTATACAATCTCCCTGCTTATATATCAACCCTCCTGAAGTCACAAAAGCAATTCTGAACTTTCATTTTAATGCTTTTTTCTATGCTTATGGTTTGGTTTTCCTGCACAACAGAGGTGACCAAATTTATCACCAGGGCCATAGATTTCCTTACACAACATCATGTTATTGTTCAAGTTGACTGCATCTTTACATCCTATATACAGTCACAGCAACTATTATTCAACATGCAAACAGCAGAAATAAAAGTACCTTGTTTTCTGTGGCATGCTTTTCCTTTTCAGCCTTGGCCAATGCCAACTCAAGGCCATCAATATCCTTCTTCAGCTCAGAGCATTCATCCTCCAGCTTCCTCTTTCTGGCTGCCAGATCAGCATTTATCTCCTCCTCATCCTGCAATTTTTCCATTACCTCCTTTATTCTTGCTTCCAGTTGTAATTTTGCTTTGATCAGCTGGTCACACCTTTCTTCAGCATCAGCCAAATTTTCATTTTCCTTTTAATAGAAAACAGAAATGTGTTTCATTGTCACACACTGGAACTGACACTTGCAGAAATCACCTGCTCATATGCAGTTGGAACATCAAATAACATAATTTCCATGCAGCCCTTTCCTGAACACTCAGACAAAACTGATGTGATCTAAGGAGCCAAAAAAGGTTTTAAATTACGTACAGTCTGAAATTGCAGCTGCAGGTCCTTTTTCTGTTGCACCAGAGTCACCATTTTATCTTCCAGTTCTTTCTTCTTGGTTTCTGATTTAGCCAGTTCCTCTTTCATTCTCTCAAACTCTTCCTTCATTGTGGTCATTTCTTTCTCAATTTCCACACTTTTTAAGAGGGGTTTTATCTTGAAATACAACTTCATCCAGGGCCAGTGCTTGACATTCATGAATGCACGGATGTTGTACTGGATGCAGAAGATGGAATCCCTGAAATCAAAGTGATCCATCAGTACTGTGAAAAAAGCACATCTTTGAGAAACCAGACCTCACAGGAGACACACACCTTCGGTCCAACATTCTTTTCAATTCAAGTCTCCTGAGGTATCCCCTGCATAAAGCCTGTGTCCGAGTGATCAGCTGTCCTAAGCAATCATCTCGCATCTCTTCCAGGACACCTAGTAAACCTGCCTTGAAGAACACCTGCAATCAAAGAACAGAGATCAGTCACTGCTAGGTTTATCTTTTAATGCAATGAAGGATTTCTCATTGTGTGGAAAAATTAAATGCTTACCTTCGTGCGTCCAAATTTGTACTGTGTATGATCTATCTCAATGGAAGACAGTAACTTTTCACACGCCTTCTTGCTATCAATAAACTGTCCTCTTGGAATGACACCAGCATTCAGAATGAGGTATCTGAAAAAAAAATAAAGGAAAAAAGCTTAACAGTTGGTATCATTTTAGTGCACAGGATGCTACAAGAACAGCTGTCACTTTGAAGTTACAGAGGAAGGCCGAGACTGACTCACACCTCCAGCCTTAAATAGAAAACCACTAAGAAGCAGGTCAGTCCAGTAGGTTCCCAGCATGTGTTACAGCCCTCACTGAGAAAGAGGGCATGGCTGGTTTGTTCTCTGGACCTGAGAGACTCTGCTCACCTGTGTCACAATCTTTTACACTGATCTAGGGGGCCAGCTCACTGGGTTAGCTGTAAATTCAAAAAATTAATGGACTGTAAGAATAGGGGAACTGCTGCAATCACCCAATCTGACCTCCTGTATAACACAGGCACACAGTCCTCCCAGTGTTATGATTAATCTAGTAGATATTTCTTCAAAAAAAAGAAATTTCAATCTTATTTAAGCCTTCAAACCTCGAGAGTGTCCCGGGTATCCACCCTCACTGTTGGAAAGGTATACTTCACTGCTACCATAACAACATCCTTTTCAGGTCCCACCCTTGGACTCTTGCTTTGAGTCTGTCTTTTAGATTACAGATTCCTGCATATTCAGAATTTTTTACACCTGTAGGTTCACTACACCCCAAACAAATCATCCATTAACATACAGTTTCATGAATTAAATTGTTTGATTTAAATCTCTCACTGCACTTGAGTTCACATTTACCCTGTAGTTCTTTTCTGAACCATATCCAGCTTCTCGCATTCCTCCTGAAGTATGTAAACCAGAATTAGACAGAGTATCTAGCCATGGACTTCCTAATCCTACACTACGAGATTATCCCACCCCCTATTCTTTTCAGTGTGCCTCTGTTTACCCATACACAAATCTGCCCACCCACATCACTGCCTTGGGAAGTCTTCTTCAGTTAGTGCTCAAAATGCCATTTCTATCCTTCTCAATGTCCCTGCTCTCCAGGATACCATGTTCAGGGCTGTAAGTGTGGTGTACTGTCTTTTTTCTTAGACATCTGACCCTACATTTGCCTTTATTCAAATACAACAAACAGATGACCCCAGCTGGGTTGCCCTAAATTTAGCAACCCTTTATAAATGTCTTATTTGCATGGCAGTTCCTAAGTTAAAATTGTTTTGTTGCCGTTTTTTTTTAATCTATAAATTAATGTAGTTAAGGTGCTGTAGAAACATTAGCCCTGTACAAAATGTACACATTGAACTGATTTAGATGTCCTACTGAAGCCTGATGTGTTTATGTAGCTAGATTTGCCAGTTGACCTTGTAATTTAATCAAAAAAGTGGTATCAGGTTTAACACAATTTCCTTTCAGTAAAGCAATTCTAGTTAAAATTATTTAAATAACATTCTTCAAACTTCTGCTAGATAGTGGTTAAATGTAGGATGTGGTATAGACCACTCCCCATATTTTTGCTGAAACATGTTTGGGTCAAATTTGAAAATTCAAGCAAAGAATACCCAAACATTCAGACGAACATGAATGAAGTGACAAGAGGTTTTGGCATACAGTATTCAGAAAGGCATTTGGGTGGGCACTGCCCACACAGACCCTGCTATTAGATATGTCGTCATACTTTCCATAGTTGTGAAATATTACAATAGTTTTTTCCTAAGAACTGTTATCACAGAAGCATAGAACGGCTTGGGTTGGAAAGGACCTTAAAGCCCATCCAGTCCCACCCCCTGCCATGGGCAGGGACACCTCCCACTAGCCCAGGTTGCCCAAAGCCTCATCCAGCCTGGCCTTGAACCCCGCCAGGGATGGGGAGGTGTTATCATTGACTTCTTTATCAAGATTCTTCTCTCAAATGAATTGGGCTCAATGCAAACACAAGAACATTATTACAGACCTCTGTTTAAAATCCCCATATAGTATCTTGTTTGGAAATCCCTTCCTGCAGATTCGAATGCCTTCCAGAACACCGTTACATCTCAGCTGGTGCAGAACAAGCTTGTGATCCATCAGGCCTATGACAGAGCAACAGGAGGATATACTGACTTTTCCAGCATTGGTCAATTGGACTTTCTGCCAATTTCTGATCTATGTTTTATGAATTACCTGGAGTCCTTGTTTCATTGGGAATGATACAACGCACAAAATGAGGATGAGTTGTTCGCAAGTTGGACATCAGCTTATTTAGATTTTCCTGTTAAAAAAAAAAAGATCACTTGCAATCTCTATATTACTTCAAGACATAATGCAAATATTCTCAATATGATTTGACTCTGACGAAAAATAAAAATTCAGAAGTTTTTATTTTCGTTTCTAGTGAATATTCTACAATCCTGTATAGGCATCAGCCAAGCTATATAATAGATACTAGCCATTGATAAACTTTCCTCTTGTCTTAAAATGAAAATATGTCCTTAGTGGTTAGAAGCTAATCATAAGAGCTGTTAAACAGGATGAGGATGGGAAGGAATGAATGATATTCCAGGATACCAATTGTGGTCTTTCTTGATCAAACGAGCTGTTGATCACATTAATGAATGGGTTGATTTGTTGTTTTTATTATTTACATATATTAGTTATGTATATTCAAAAGAGAATTGAGACACAAAATCAATGTTTGCCTATGACATCAGAAGTCACCTGCTCTGCAGGATAGCTGTTGTTAGCATTGCATTTCTTTAACCATCTCCTGCAACAATTAAATAGTCTGAGTACAGCCCACGTCACAGCCAGGCGGGTGCTGCACTCCTCAGCCTGGCAGGAAGGCCTGAGCCTGTTCCTGGCCCCATGATACAGATGTGTCACAGCAGCATCAAGCAGCTGCAACACGTAATTTGTGTTGCCAACTCTGACTGCAAGGCACTGGTTGCCCTATACTTAGAGAAACACATCCTGCAAGAAACCAATCACAGCCGAATAAGGGAAGGATGCTGTTAGCACCAAAGGTCAAAGCCAAGACAGCCTTTGGGTTGCCTTGAAACTGTGCAACCTGATAAAAGCACATTGCTTCCCTTCTCCACCATTATCCCACTGGACCTCAGCAGCAATGCGGAATTCAAATTAACCATTACCAGATCCCTAAGGCAACCTTCCAGAATATTGTACGGCAACACAGAAAGTGGGAATGGTGAACTAGTGCAGACAGGCCTGACGAGACTGCCTGCTCAGCATTTCCTGCAGCTGGCCCGTGCTGTGCCACACCTACCCGAAAGAGGACAGAGACAGCTTGGAAGGAAGAGCCCTTTTTCTTGGTTCCTTTCTTCTTAATACAATCACCTTCACCTGGAAAATGAGATGCCAGTCCAAATGAGGTACTGCTGTAGATCCCTTTGACAGCTTTATAATTGTGCATGTAATACATAGAGCACAAATACTGACTCAACGCTAATTCAAGTCAGGTGATAGCTACAGCTGGAAACACCAGACAGGAGACATAATCCTTAATCTTACCTTCATCTATGGAAGCAAAAGTGGCATAAAGATTGCATAAAATTTTCATAGATGATTTCTGGTACAGCCCCACAACAGTTTCATTCAGGGGGTCTTTGTTCTTCTCCAGCCAGCCAGAGATGTTGTAGTCCACCGTGCCAGCATAGTGCACCAGGGAGAAGTGGGCCTCAGCCTTGCCTTTGGCAGGTTTGGGCTTCTGGAAGTTGTTGGACTTGCCCAGATGCTGGTCATAGAGCTTGTTCTTGAAAGAGGTGTCAGTTGCCTTGGGGAACATGCACTCCTCTTCCAGGATGGAGAAGATGCCCATGGGCTGAATAGAGAGATGTTTTCAAATAAGATGAATTCAAGTTACAATAATAGGGAGTGAAAGAAATCCTAAAATTAAAGTACTGGAGACATTTTGTAGACAATTAGCTTGGGAGGAACGGGTAAGAAAGTTTTTTGTAAACAGCTGGCAAGATATTCAAAAGCACCAGATTTTCATAAACAGGGTTTTGAACTACCTAGGCATTGTCAAGAAAACAAAGAAAGCCAAGCGAAAACTGTGCAGTAACTTCCTGGAATACAGTAGTGACTCTTCCTTAGCCAGAAAGAGAAAAAAGCAAGCAAACATCAGGCTTTCTAACATCCAAATTTAACTGAGAGGAAAACCTGAGGAGGAACCAATATGCAAAGACAGAAGATAACTGTGGTAAATATGACAATGAAATGACAAATTTATAATGCTGTGGGAGAAAGAAAGACAGAAGAGAGAAACAAAAGCAATGTGTTTTCAGAAGGCAGAATACATTTCCAGCCAGTGGACAATTCATCACAACGGTTATGTTTAAAGGAAGGGAGGAGGTGAAGAGACCTGGAAGCTCCACAGAGAGGGTGTACTGAAGGCACTCAGTGCAAACATTCTAGAGAACTCCTTACAGATCCGATTTGTGTGATTGCACAAGATGCGTAAGAAACTCACCTTTTCTATAAGCTCAATGCAGGCAGCCAGGTCCATCCCAAAGTCAATGAATGTCCATTCAATTCCTTCCTTCTTGTACTCCTCCTGCTCCAGCACGAACATGTGGTGGTTGAAGAACTGTTGCAGTTTCTCATTGGTGAAGTTGATGCACAGCTGCTCCAGGCTGTTAAACTAATATTTCAGTAAATATGTTAATATTGTTAAACTGACTCCAATCAATTTATTTCTGAGATATGTCAAGGCAAGGTCAGCCAGACTATCCCCAAGGGGTTTTGATAATAGCATAAGGGATATATCATGGGTGGTCCAGGCTTATAGGGAAGTTGTGCTGGGCAGCACATGGTTGATGTAGCCTGCATTGGCAATGTTTGTGGTGACCCTAAATTGTCACTAAATACAGACTCTGTGGGGAGGGAGACAGCAGCTTTGTGGCTATGCTTCTGACATTTCTCTTACAAAGTGGGTGGTGGATCTACAAAGGCAAAAGCAGCTTCAGAGAGATTTGCCCTGTTCTTGAGGGCTGCATTGGGGTGAGGAGGAAGAAAGGTCAGAAAAGACAAACAAAACGAAAAAAAGCATTTAAAGACAGCCAGAAGTCTGAGAGTGCTATGTAAAACCAAACCTCAAAGATCTCAAAGCCAGCAATGTCTAAGACTCCAATAAAGTGCTGTCTGGGCAGCTTTGTATCCAGCTGTTGGTTGATGTACATCACCATCCACAAGAAGAGCTTCTCATAGACTGACTTGGAAATGGCACTCACTGCCTGGTGCACCTGCAGGGAGATTGTTCACAGGGCTGCGTCAGGCACAGGGCGTCACCAGAGGAAAATGCCCCTCTGCCTTGCACAGCTACTATCACAGCCCACAACAGGCACTAATAGCCCTTCATGGTCCTGACCATCCTCAGCTGTGACCTGCACCCACTCCTGTCCCTTCGGGAGAGAATGCTCCCCGCTGCTCCCTGACACTCACCTGGTCCACTGTTTGGCCCTTCAGGACATATTCATTTCCCACTTTCACCCGGGGATAGCACAAAGCTTTCAGCAAGTCTGCTGAGTTCAGGCCCATCAGGTAGGCTGCTTTGTCAGCCTCTGTAAAACAAACAAACAAAAAAAAAAAAACCTGAAAGACCTTCTTCTTAGCTGGGACAGACAGAATGGTTTGGAGCCAGCCAGTGCTTACTCTAAAACCTGGCAAACTGGTTAGTTCTACCCTATCCTCAAAGCTTAACCAACCTTCTCATTTAGTTTTCCAAACAGCCTTGTGGGGCTGGTCTTCATGACTGAGAGGCTACAGCAGCCCCAACAGGTGTGGTAAAACCAGTGAGTGCACTGATGATAGGACAACACAGTGGTTTCCCCTTCAAGCCACTTCGCCACAATGTCACCCAAGCAGAACAGGGCTGGATCTGTTACCAGAAACTGGCAAACACCACAGTAACGTTTCCCAGGCACAAGTTCCCTCAGGAGACCCATCAGGAATAAAGTGGATGCACTAAGTGACTCTATAGGAGGTGATAAATTGAAGGTTGAACCACCTTTTCATCAAGGAACAACTGCTTCTTTCCTGGAAGACTTCTTGCATTTTCAGTGAAAAATCATATGAAAACAGTCGGAAACACGTCTCTCCAATCCATGAAGGTATTACCTTCTGTGCCATCTGGCTCTGCCTGCTCCTCACATGGTTTCTGCTTGAACTTCATGTTCCCGTAGTGCAGGATTGCCCCTGTCAGTTTGTAAATCCCCATTTTCTCATCGGGGCTGAAGCCCAGAATGTCAATGGCTGCCTGCACACCGGACAGATCAGCTGATTACGATGGTGGTGACAGTAAAAGCGATACTGTCTCTCCTTGCTAAAGGTACTCACATCTGTGGCAACAAGCTCCTCCTGGTCATCAATGCTGGCCACAGAAATCTCTCCTTGGCTGATGAAGGGGTAGTCGTATGGGTTGGGTGTGACGAGGAGCATCTCTGAAAAGCAAACAAAGGAGTGAGAGCCAGATCTCAGCAGTGAAAATGACCAAGGGCTCAGCAAGGTTTCACAGGCTCTTGTTTCCTTTCGCATCCCCAAACTCTCTGTTTTCTATTAAGAGACAAGACAGAGTAAAGCCATTCATCTGCCTTCCACTGGCCAAGCAGAAGGTTCCCGGGCAGGTTCTCAGTCCTACCAGTTTAACATGTTGTGAACTGGGAGCTGAACATTCAGCATGGGCAGACAAGGAACAAGGGCCATCCAAAGAAACAGCTTTTAAGAAAGATACTTTTAGGTAAGACTCATACGTGCTTTTTCTCAAACATGACACACACTAATCCATCCTGAACGCCTCTTGCACTCACTGGGCTTGTGTGCTGGCGCACGTAGGTTATACAAACACGTGTGTTTATCTCCACCTAACTGAGGCTAAATTTCACAACTCATTTTCAGTCCTCAATCCTACGGCAGAGTAAGAGAAGTGAAGGTGTGCAGATGTGCAGTGGGGCTGTGCAGTGTGCAGGAGAGGAAGCCCTCCCTACACTGAAGGTAAGTCCCTCTGTGTCCTTGCACAGACGTGCAGTCCCCTGGCACACAGCTGTCCTCTGGGAAGGGAGGTGAGGTGGTAAATGTCAGGAGGGCACAGAGCGGGAACATGGGGGTAGGGGCTCCAGCCTGGGAAATATTCTGTGGACAATTGAGAGGGATGGGCAGAGTGGAGTGAGGATGAGTCCAGGGGTTGAGTGTGTGGCAAAAGGGTTTGGGATAGATGCCGGGCATGGGTAGGGTATGCCTGGCAGTGGGGAGGGGGAAAAGGCTGATGGGGCTATACTGGAAACAGGGAAGAACTTTTGCCCATATGATGAAGACTTCAGATAGATGGTTTGTAGATCAGGATATCTAGCCATCCTGCACCCAGGGAATTTCTCACCTTTCTGCTGAAGACTATTCACAGATTCTGGCCCATGTATGTTGGACTTTGCACACCAGCAAGAACAGCAAGGTGTACAGAAGAGTAAATCAGCCACTCCTGCACCTCACCTGCACATAGCTTGTATTAGAACTTCCCCAGGGAAGATAAATTGGAGGTGGAGTAAAACCCCAAGTGCAACACCATTATACAGAGATAGAAGTGCTGTGTACAGCTTTGGCAACCCAGTCATCATTGATGCTCAAATGCAGATGACATAAATAAGCACATGATCAAAGCTTCAGTGCTGTACACAGCCCAAGGCACCTGACAAACGGGGAAGCTGGGTGCTTGTGACACATGGCACCGGACCCTCCGTCACTGAGCTGGCATATTTAGGGAAAAGTTTCCCATACTGATTTTACTGTAAAATGTCACCAGGTGATGGCTGTCCTTACCAAGCAGTTCAGGCTTCTTATTGGAGAGGATCTGGTAGAAGATGTGGTAGCTTCTCTCAGCTTTCAGCTGGAAAGTGACTCTTGACTTTTCCAGCAAGTCTGTAATATGTATGCACAGATAAATTTTTCAAGTTCTTCTTTACTTTATAGTAAAGCAGTAAGCCCCCCTCATTTACTCACAGGTCTCAATGTCACCAGAGGCCAGTTTTCCAGAGGTACTGAAATGAATCCGAATGAATTTACCCTGGCAAGCAGACAGAAGGTAGTGGTCAGTGCAGCATTCTCAGGGTAACACACCAGAGTGTTTTTGCTCTCTTGAATCTCAGTGACAGCTTCTCCAAATCAGTCTGAATTATGTTAGATATTCAAAGGTAGATAAAGGGTACAGTTTGTTGCAGCCTACACAGCTATGAGCATGAGACAGCTGTAAACACACTAGCATCTGACAACCAACCAAAAAATTCAACAGCAAGAACATTTCTCCCAGTCTAGTGGCTCCCAGTTGCAAGTAACAAGCAGGCAAACAGGATTAGAAATGCAGGAGGGCAGAGAGAAACACAACGACTCACAAAGCGCGAGGAGTTGTCGTTTCTCACAGTTTTGGCATTCCCGAAGGCCTCCAGCAGCGGGTTAGTGCTGACGATTTGATCCTTGAGCATACCCTGTGAGAATATTTGAATAATTACGGAAAAACACCATGGGCTATGTGGTAGGAAAAAGTGACTACACTGCAGCTTGCCTGATTACATGTGCAACTATGTGCCCTTTGTTTCAGCTGGGTGTAAATGGTAAACAATTTTTCTCTTATTCAGAATTTCTCCCACAGTCAGAGCTCTCTTCTCTCTGCCACAAGGACAGACTGGCCTGTGTGTGAAGAAACTGGAGCTTCTGATTCTTCCTCGATACCAACCTCCCAGACTCACCTTCAGTCCAGATAAAGCCACACCTCTGCAGTGACAGCGACAGCTCTGGTGGCCTGTATCTGTTGTGGTCCTAACTGCATATCAGCCTCTGGTCTTACTGCCTTTTGACAGTGTGGCTGAAGCTAATAAAAGCCATTTCATATTTTGAGGTAAATGTTTGTCACCAGTGCCGTCCACAGCCACAAGCTGATAACATCCCGAACTGCCCCTCTGCCAAGCCCTTCTTCCTCACACCTTCATCCAGGACTCCTTCTTGGCTAGGTCCCCACTGGCTGCAATTGTTGCAAAGTACTGGATGACACGCTTTGTGTTCACTGTCTTCCCTGCACCGGATTCTCCGCTGTTGAAAGAAAGCACAGAGCAAAGAATTATCTGCCCACTTTCTGTTGGAGACAAAGTTCAAAGCGATAGATATACTTACGTGATCAGGATAGACTGATTTTCACCATCTGTCAAAAGGGAAAAACAACTGCAGTC